CACACACACACACACACACACACACACAAGAATGAATGTTTACCTGGTATTGAATCACCTGTGTTTGTCGGATGTGTTGCCCACCTGGCCTCACCTTTCCCTCATTATGACACAGCAGCAGACACGCACGCACAGTGAAACTTTGCTTTATGATGGTAACTGTAAACTGCTACTTACTGGCATCAGGTGAGTCAGAGTCTTGCGCATCACAGATATAAGATAATGAGACAACCATCTATTTTATAATATATGTTTTTTTGATACAGACCTAAAGCAAAGTTTGTCACTTTTTAAAATTGACTAACAATTAAATGTAGAGGTTCAGTTTTCTTCAAGTATAACAAGTGGAATCAGGGGGAAACACCCCCCCTGGATCAAGTGTGTCCCAAAATGTCTACGTTAAAAGAAAGTTCTTACATTATATAAATGCTAAAAGTATTTTTGGGTCACTGTTATCACACCAGCAATAAACATCAGATATCCCTTCTTTATAACCCTTGTATGAAACTGAAAGTTAATGCATTTTTGCATCTGTGGACTTTTGTACCACATTGCATTACAAAGTAGTGTGATGTCTTGAGAGGTCGGGATCTTTCCCTCTTGTAGCTTTTGAGGTGTGGGTGCAGGAAATGAAGACAGAGAGCTTTGCTTTCCAACTCAAATCCACTGTATACAGTTTTCTTTTAACAGGCTTAACTTAGTAGTTATGCTATAAAGAAGTTGCTTCACACTCAGTATGGACCGGAGAAGTGTCCAATACAAATCAGAACCCATCCTGCTGAGGTGACTGACGCCTGCTACAAACAGGATATAATCAAAAGAAATCCCCAGAGGAGCAAATGTCCGTCTTGTAAGCACTTCCTGAATTTTATCACGTCTAGTCATCACCTCATCAAACCCTCCGACCAGAGGTCCTTGGTGAGGTGTCCCAACTCACGCTCCATTCCTCATCCCCTCCACCAGTATCTTGGCTCCTGGGTTAAAGGTCCAGTTTGTAAGATTTAGATGAAAGGGGAGAGAAATTTTATGTAAAATAATCCTACAGATGTTTTCACTAGTGCGTTTCATCTGAATTGTATGAATTGTTGTTTTCTTTACCCTTTGTATTTAAATACTTTACTTCAGGAGCGGGTCCTCTCTACGGAGGCAGCCATGTTTTTTTACAATAGTTCAAACTGGACAAACTCAAACACCTTTTGAGTTTTTATGAAAACTGAAGGCTTCCACAGGTTCTTCTTCATGTTTGGAAGCTGAGGGTGAGGTGAGGGGGTGTTCAGCTGCAACACTTCAACACTAGATGTCACTTAATTCTACACACTGAACCTTTAAGTCAACATGAAGAGCCATTATCTTTCTATTGAACATATAGTGTATTGTAGAGCTGTAGAGACAAAACAGCCACGTCAGTCATTTTAAAGTCTCCAATCAACCCGACCGTGATCTGCATGTCTTTGGACTGTGGGAGGAGAAAACCCACTTAAGGAGAACATGTAAACTCCATGTACCCGGGATTCGAACCAAGAACCCTCTTGCAATGAGGCAACTGTGCTAAACACGAACTGCACCACAGTTTGCAGTAAATCCAGTTGCAGTCTAATTTACTTATGTCTGTGACTCTAGATGTCACATGATTGAATTGAAATCATTTTAGTATCATAGCAAGATTTCTGTGTTTGTGAGTCTGGTTTCAACCTGTGGACAACATGTATCTGTGTTTTCTCTTCCACGGCTCAAACCCTGAAGTGGAACAAAGTCATTTCACAGAGACGCTGACAGACTTTCCAGACTCTCTTGCCTTTGTGTTGCATCCATGATCAGTGAATTCCTCTGTGATGTCACAGAGTTTTCTCTCAGCCTCTGTCAGGGTTATTCTCGTCTGCTGAATCTCTGTTTGGCTAAAAGGTCGAGATGTTTGTGTGAGCAGGCTGCTGAGGTATGGGATGCGACCAGAGATGGGAATGTAAACTCAACAGTCATATGAATAAAATAACACTTTGACATAACACTGAGACACTTTATTGGCAATGAAATTCCATCCCTTTTCCAGACTGAGATGACGAGCGTTTCTCTGACCTAAGACAACAGCAGTGCAATAAATAAAACCAAACCTACAGATCATCAAAAGGTTGAATGCTCAGCATCCGCACACAATACACATCATAACAATAATCCGACACACAAACACTCACACAGTCACCAGCAATAAATAATCGCACTAAATAAATTAAACTCTAACAGGTATTTAACAGTTTGTTTTTTGTTACATAGCATCTAATGAAGCAGTGGATCAATTCTACTTCTTCTTCGGATCCTCGGATTCTTGTGGCCTGCTTCATCCTGCAGCCGGCTGAGACACAGAGAGGGCAAAGGTCAGTAAATACACAAACAGACAACAAGCATTTTAAATCAGTTCTTTTAATATGCACTAAAATGTCGTTAAACAGTTTCTTCTCAATGTTGCAAAGATTTTCCGCACAACATAAAATAAAGTTTCGAATTATGTCTGTCAATAAACGATGTTGAAATGTAAATGCTATGTTTTATAAGTATGTTTGTGGCAAAATTGTGAAATCACACAGCAGCACTTTGTAATGTCACATTACATATTGTAGTTGACCATAATTACTGTTAATAATAATTAGTTGCTACTCATCAATTTACTATCTTAAAAAAACAAGGGCAAACAGTAAAATTATTACTCATTGTTCGGTGAATTCTTTCGTCTCAGTTTATATTTCCTGATTCAACTTTGATTGATTGTAATAACTATTGCAGTGACCAATGTAGCTTTAATGCCAAATACATTTTTAAATCATCTATCTACCATGACACAGCCCAGATATCTCAGCCAGTGAGAAATGTTTCATGACAACCATTCAAAATAAAGTAAAACCTTTGTAAAATGATTAAAAACCTGCAAAACCGGCATCCTTACTGTGTCTTATGTGTGAGTCAGACTTTGCAGTTCTCACAGTTGGCATTGGAGAATGCTGCACGGTCACATTGTTTTTCTCAAGGCAGACATTTCTGTGTGTGTCTAAACACATGAAGTCTGCATCTCTGCGTGTGTGTTTTGCTCAGTGAGATCTGACCACATGTAAGTGGGGTAATCAGGATCTTGCCGCAAAGTCCTCACGTGTACAGTCAGTGTGTCAGTGCTGTTATTGTTTGCAATGCACGGGTGAATGTGTGGGATAATTTTTTTGCCTTTACGCTGGTATGAAGCCCTGAGACGGGATAGGCCAAGACACCCCCTGGCTAATCCTCACTAATTCCTCTAGTGGGGATTCCTCTCTGCATGATGCAACTTGCTGTGTTCAAAAACAACAACAGGCGTGCGTCTTCTGTCACTCTCTGAGCCCACTCTTTACTGTTTGGCTTAAGGATGACACGAGCAGAGACGGGACACCTCCCTCTGAGGACTCAAGAAGAAGTCCATCACTAAACTAGAGCGTGCCCCTTGACACTGGTGACAGCTCAGTGGTTGCTACGCTAAGATTGGACCATCGCTGGTATTGAGTTATTAATGATTATTTTTTTAACAGAATTTAATTGAAAAAATCAATGACGGGACATTTACCTCATCGTGGCCCTCCGCTCTCACACCATCACGTCAGCGAGAGGTTTCTGTAACTTTTCCTGCTCCGCCCCAGTTCCCAGGAAGGATGCCATGTAGGTCTTATGTGACCTGTAACTGCAAAACACAATCAACATGAGTATAAAAGCGTTGTGATTATCAGATGATCAAAGTTATTGACAGGCAGGAGCACAGAGACATAGTCAGACGAATGAGATACATGACAAGTCTTTGTTGTGTTTTGGCAAACCCATAAAATGTATTAATTATTAACCCATTTTCATTTTCCATTTTAATCGATACTAAAGTGGACAAAGTTACTCCGTCATAAATTCTAGCTTTCTTTCTCTCTACCTCCTCACTTCAGTATTTATGACTCACACTGGCTACTTCTCATATTTGATCTCTCTTGAACTATTTACTTTGACCCACATTCAAACAATATCTGTGATGTGGTAACACGTCGATAAGGAACTTTCTATTAAACAGGAAATGAGTCGCCATTTTAAGTAAAAGATAAGAATCAAGTGTGAGTGAGACATGCATTCATTCAGGCGACATTTCCAGTGAAATTGCAGATTTTACTGATATTGCTCAATATATAATGAGTAACAATGAATATCGTTCCATATTACCAGAAAACAGCAGTTGGCAAATGATTCTGCAACATTTAATCTCTTTCATGGTTTAAAGAGAAATCTGAGGGAGGAGATTAATGGAAGAATAGTCGAACCCCAAACCCCCTAGTGGCTGCCCAGTGTAACATTTCCCATTGGTTTGTGAAGTGCTGTTTGGAAGCCTATTCGAGAGAATATAGGTTTCAGCAGGCACTTCCACATTCACTTCACTTTTTTGACCTGTATTCTACTTCCATTTTTATTTGGCAGTCAATGACTCAGATGTTGCAAGAGGCTTTTCTCGGCCTGTAGCATAACCATACAGCAAAGATGGTGGGAGATAACAGCTGTTTAAACAAACTCCTGCAAAGACACGGCCTCCATTTGGTAGGGGAAAGGTAACAAGTGACGCTCAACGAGTTATGATAAGAATCATTATCTGGCTATTAAATCTTTATGAGGATATGAGACACAGATCTACAGCCTGAACGACATGAACAGTGTAGGCGTGTTAGGGTGTGTTAGTATGTGTTGTCTGATGTGTCAATGTGCCCAGATGCCAAGACGTGTTTCTGGGCAGGATGTGTGGATTGCAGTGTGCGTTGGGATTCGTCAGGCTGTGGATGTTTGCCCTGATTGGCTAAACTTCAATAATCTGTCCTGTACCAGCTTTAAAGGTTAAGATTGTTGTGAAGTGATATGAAAGCAGTTTGATCACAATATCTCTCAGTGGCTTCCCGCCTACAAACACTACTCATCCCTCTGAAAAATGTGAACAAGGCCATGTCGCTGCAGGACCTGAGCCTTCAGTGCAGCTTTATGCACATTTATACAAGCATCAGTATGAGAAACATTCAAAGACTGCAAGTAATTTAGAACGCTGCAGCCAGGATTTTAACACACACTAAGAAAAGTGACGACATCACACCAAGCCTCTCCACTGGCTACCTGTGAGTTTACTGCTTGTTTTAACAGTATTGAACGGTCAGGCTCCAGTCTAAACTTGTGAGTTCTTCTGAACGCTGCCCATGATCAGGGATCTTCTACTGTCAGTCCTCAGTATCTTCTTTTAAATCTTTTAATGGTCTATTTTTAAACTCCTGAGATTTGTTTTTAACAATTCCAAATTATTTTACTGTTATAATTTGTGAATCTCGTTAGTTTTTGTAAAGCACTTACAAACTTTGGTTTTGAGAGGAGCTGAATAAATAAAGTCAGTATATACTCACTGAGCACAGGTCATGAGCAGGATGGCGGTGCAGCTGATGACTGACAGGACCACAGCGACGATCACCAAGACCGTCTGCAGCAACTCATTATCGCTGCTCCCACCAGACTTGGTTTTAAAGGTCCCCAGAGTTTGGATCCCACAGCGATCACCGTCATAACCCTTTATACATCTGCAGAGCAAGAAAACAAATAGATCCACCAAGAGGGTTATTTATGAAGAAAAGAGCAAATACAGCAAGAGGCATCAGAGATTGAAGTGTCACTTGTTTGGATGAAGGACACATGGGAAACTCAAAGTGATGGCTGCTGCACTCACATGCACACTGGCTCCCGCAGTTCCTCGATGTGCTTGCAGTAACCATGAATACAGTAGCCCAGGTGGGTGGAGGTGCAGGGATCCTCTATGGTGCTGGGGGTGGACGTGAGGCCGCTGGTGAGGCTCGTGTGCTCGGGGTTGAATGAAGTTGTAGCTTTGCTCCTGTGCCGGCTCTTCTTCTTGCCTTTGCCCTTCCTCTTCTTCTTCTCATCTTTACTGGGAGGTAACTCTGTGAATTCCAAGTTTGTGACGTCAGCGTAAAGCACTGACTGAGTTTATACATCATAGACTGAAATTGTAAATTACGGCAATAACAGCTTTCTAAAAAAGGAGGGGGGGGGGCCTGAGTGAATGTTTTTTTTTGATAATTAAATAAAGAGCGGTTTTATTCATGATCAACATTCTTACTTGGACGTTTTTACTTACGTCCAAGCAAAGTAATGAATGTATTTCTATTCTAGATGTAAGTCAAGAAAATCCTTTTCCCATCGACTTTTATTTCAATTTATCTAAAAACATATTTATGGAGGGAAGATGTCTTTTATTTTGCTCTTTTCAAAATCTCCTGACAGCTTTAATTTAAGAATGGCGTTGATTTCTTCACTTCTCTGTTGCAGTCAGAGTAAAGTAGATTGACTGATCACAAATGTAATCATTTGATTATCTTAGCTTCAGCTTGAGTTAACCGGCATGAGGACGATCTTACCATAAAGGTTGAAATTTTCATTGTCTCCTCCTGAGAGATCATCATCTATTTCCGGCTCGTCATCGTCACCCTGCGAGGACTGGAGGCCCTCTCCGGAACCCGGACCCCGAATCACTCCGGCTAATGTACCCGAGTGCGTGGTCTCAGATCCCTGAGCACTGCAGACGACTGTAAAGTCAACACAAGAGGCAGAACGAGTGAGATCACACCAAGCATGCACAGAGATATGAGGAGGATAAGCAGTAAGGAGCAGTCCGATCAAAGTTCACAACATGAGATGAAATGCAGCATGGTCGATCTCAGAGAAACTGGCAGCCGGCTCTTTTATTCTTCTTCTATGGTCACCAGGAACATATGGTTGCTTGGTGACATTCTGTTGGATCTGTGCTCAGAAATCATGGCCCTTTACATCTGACTCATCCAATCACCTGAAATTATGGAGCCCGATCTGAGCTTGTGAATGAAAACATGCTGCTTCTAAGCTAAAACCAGTACAACCAGTCCACATCCAGAGCGGCACTGTAACCGAACACATCATCCTCACCACACGAGAACTGACAAAATGGTGAAGTATTTCAAACATGTTGCCCTTTCACTGCGTCTGTGCTTTGGTGCGGTGGAAATGATTCGCTCTGCACAGCTGAAACAAATTCTTGTCTTTGACACAAATAATATCTCCCTCCTGCCCGACACGTCCTCACTTGCAGAGACATTTCTTCCCTTCATCCTCTCGCCGTTTTACATTTCACTGCTTTTCCTTTTCATTGATTTACAGGAATTGAACATACAAAGACACACACACAAGGGTAAAAGTACAAGTCCAGACTTACCGGAGCACAGGAGGCAGGTGAGGATGAGCAGGTTCATATCCCAGGGAGAGTGTTTTGTGTTTGACGGCCCTGCACAAATGTGTTCGTCTGTGTGTGAGTGTGTGTGTGTCTGTTTGTCCCCTGCTGATAGAGATTGTGCTTTGCTCTCTTTACCTTTAGTGGGTGCAGCTTTTATGGACCAACGCCTGCCTCTCAACTCCAAGGAGAAAGAAGGGTGTGTGTGTGTGTGTGTGTGTGTGTGCGCGCGCGTGCGTGTGTGTTGTATGTGTGTGGGTGCGTGCGTGTTGGAAAGAGAGAGAGAGAGAGCAGCCCAATGTGTGTGTATGAATAAGCAAGTTCAAAGTAAAAAAAGAAGGCGTGTGTGTGTGTGTGTGTGGAGGGGGGGGGGGGGGTTGATTAATCTGCCCCAGGCAACACATTTTGCACCTCATGTTCGCACACACACGCAGCAGTTTGATGTATTCTGACTCCTTTGTCGTCATCATTAAAACACACACAAACATTTGTTCCTGCTGCTTTAATTGTCATAGCTTCCTCACTTCTCCCTCTACGGCCACGAATGAGGCCACAATTACAGCGTCAACCCATTGTGACACACACACATTCACACACATACACACTTCTGTCTTTGTGAGGACACTCTTTAACTTAATGTATTCCGTGGCCTTGTAGCTTAACTTAAAAAATAGAACTAAATGCAATCCCTTAGCTTAAAAATAGGCAAATCATAATAATAAATAAATAATGGGGGTTAAATTGACATAACAATAAAGACAAAAAATATATATATATACTTGAAGATACACACATTTTGAAATAACTGCAACCAGGACCAGCTGTACTCTACTTGAGGTACAAAGCTGGTGAGTTAAAAGGTTTTATAATTAAATGTCTGCCTAATTGATGATTGGTATCATTTACAGGTGGAGGAACAAAGTCGGCTCCATAATCAGCTTTTTAGCCGTAAGTTGATTTACACAATCAGTGTTGTGTCTTTCATGGAACAACTTCTGTTTTTAAGGCGTACGTTGTTTATTTTATCTATTTTTATCTATTCGATGGTTCCAACATACCTAATCTGTTATTTTAACCTTATGTGTAAGTTTTGTATTGTTCCGCAGGTTGTCTTATCATGTATGTGGTTTGATTCCACGGTGACAAGTGTTACTATTTTAGTAACCACACTGTAACTAAGAGGAGACCTGACGACTTGGGTGGGGATGCTGCACAGAAGGGCGTGTTGACTCTGTTGTTATGTCTGCAGGCTGAGGTTGTCCCAGCGTTGGTGCTCTGCTGGAATCCAACAGTAGCCCCCTAGGAATGCTGGGAAGTCTCTCCATCTCATTCCTCCGGCCCAACAACGACCAGCAGCTCCTGAAACATTTTGTTTATAGCAGCCGTGGAATCACACTGTTTGGATTATCTGTGCTGACATTGAGGATACGTGATATGAATGTGTGGAAAGTCTGACACCAGCTCACAGCAGCCACCCACTGTAAACACGCCGCATGGAGGGTGAAAACTGTGACACACAGATACAGATGGATCTATTCGGAGAGAAATTTGAATTATGCATTTTTACACAGGCTCAGAAGCTGCACTGATTAAACCAGTTTCACCCCCTCTCTGGAAAAGGGATTAATGCTCAAATTGAGCAAACTTTAGACAGAAACCGTTTGAGGTTCTAGAGGAAAAGTCAGGAGTTGGCTCAGGAGGTAGTGGTCTTCGGGTCGGCGGTTCGATCCCAGTCTCCCCCATTCCGCATGCATTAGTGTCCTTTGGCAGGACACTGAACCCCAGCTGTGCCGACAGTGTGTGACTGATGTGTAATGGAGAAGTGCTGCACATTGATGCACTGTAATAAGGTGAATAATGAAAAATGTAACTGTATAAAGCGCTTTGAGTTTTGAGTTGTTATCAAGACTAGAAAAGCTCTATAGAAATACAGACCGTTTACCATTCAACATTCATTCTGATGGGAACGTCATCTTGACATCAATTTTCACTTGATCGAGGAGCAGGGAAGGAAATGTTATGCAGTCACCAAAGTCTGTATGGTTCATCTTCTGGGCACCATGAATGTCTGTAAATGTCATGTTAATCCATCAGGTCGTTGTGAGCCATGCCGCTAGCGTGGTAAACATGAATAAAACAGAAACGGAACCAGCCTCGAGCAGCAAAACAAATGTGGTCATCATGGCACACGTGGACATTTTGTTTTGTTTGAGTACACGCAAGGATGTGGCTTAGTCGCCGCATTAATCACTGCGTGACCAAACTACTATTCCTTATGCAATATGGGTTACAGTTAGCTGTAATGAGGACACGGGAGATTACAGGCACATTTCCTGGGATATTTTTATCCACTCGTTTTAAATTTAGAACAACAAAAGACACGGACTGGGCGTGTTTGTGTGTGTGTGTGTGTGTGTGTGTGTAGGTGCAGTGTCGAATTAATGTTTATGTGCGTTCAGCAATGATCATTAGCATACAGAAGATATCAGCATGCTGCAGGCCTGTGAACGGAATGGTGTGTTGACCCTGGTTGAAGCTCTAATGATGGTGCAGAGACTATAATGATGTTACTGGTTAACTTGACACCGTGCTCACTGGCTCAGGTGTTAACTGCTACACTATAAAAACCCTCAAGTGTCTGTTATACAAGCTCCAAATAACCATGACACTTTAAATGTTGTTTTAATGTTCTAACACACACTAACTCAGTTGAGAGTAGATAAAAGTAATGCATTGTCAGTCAAGTGCAGGTTATAGTGAAACACTGTTGTAATATATAAAAAACTGTTCACATTTACTGTAACTTAATAAACAGTTTTTCAACCATTCATTAAAAAGATATATACATAGACATAAATATGATAACGGGGTTAGAAAAGATATGATACACACACATACACACACAGCATGTGCGCAGGGTAACAAACTTTTCATTTTAAAATCCTTGCATCATTATTGTTTAATCCGAGGGATCAGGGTGTCTGCTGTACTTTTTGTTTTGTCATCTCTGTGCACCACTCTCGTGCGAAACAAGACAAACAGAAAATGTCCCCGTGAATCACTGATCCTCATAATGTTGTTGAATGTTACTCACCAAACTAATGTGTACCCACTGTAGAGTCATCCATCCACCCATTTATCCTTCCGTCATCCATCCATTCATTAATTCATACAACCATCCATCCACCCATCCGTTTATCCTTCCATCACCCATCCATTCATTCATTCATCCATCCAACCATCCATCAATCCATCCATTCATCCATTCATCCATCTATCCATCTATCCATCTATCAATCTATCATCTATCCATCCATCCATTCATTCATTCAATCATCTATCCATCCATCCTTCCATCCATCTACCCACCCATCCATTTATCCTTCCATCATCCATTCCACCCATCAATTAATTTATTCATCCATCAATTCATCCATCTTTCTATCCATCCAGACAAAATATTAAAAGTGTGCAGTTCTTCTGGTTGTTTTTCAAAGTTGTTAATGTTCTTAAACATTTGATTGCAGCACATCACAAGATGAATTGAGTTTATACATTTAATCTACCTCCAAGTAAACTAGTGATCATAGTTTTTTTGTTATAGTTTACAAGTATGAGAAGTAAATTTGAAATGCATTGGTTTTAATTCATATTTTATTCAACATGTTTTCCTGGTACATGTACAGCTGATACTGCAATTGCAAAAATGTCTGTCATTGTTCAGTATTTGTTGTTTTTGTTTTTTCATGAGAGATATTTTCAAACTATTGATCACATGGAAAAGAAATGTGAAAATTTAAATAAAAAAATTTAAATTAATGTAAAAGTTAAACCAAGGTTAAACAAGCTATAAACAAGGGTGAATCTGTACCTTGGTATTTTAAATCAGTTAAATTAGTTTTGCATCTGAAGCACATTTGTTCTGCCACTTGACTGAAGCTCAAAAATAAAAAATCTATGAAATACTTAACAACTATGAGAAACATTAGTGAGAAACAGTGAATAAACTAAAGCATGTTAATATGATTATGACCAGTTCAAACAAGCTTCATTCAGAAATTTGAAATATGTTGCAAAACCTTCAGGAAGACAAAAAGACACATGAGGAAATTTGTTTTAGAGCCACACGATTAAATTTGCATGGATCACTCTTATTCGTGACCCCCCATGATAATGGCTGGAAACATTTTTTTGTGTCTCGCTATGCAGGTGCTGAAACATTAGAACCTGTGAAGCTGGAAACAACAATCACTCGACACACAAAGCTGTTTCTCATCTCTCTGAGGTTTTAATCTCTTGATCTGCCTGCTGGATAAAATGATCCAAAGCCAAGTGACGTACATGATATTGTGAGAAGGCATAATCCAGTAAAGCTGCGTCTCAGCTGACGTCTAAATTCTACTTCGAAAAATGAGAAATATCCTGCTTGGAATTTTCTGTGGAATGAGGCGTAACCTGTCTCTTGTGTGTGAGACGCTCTAAACAGTCCGGACTCCTTTGTGATCCTCTGTTTTTCTTTTACCTGTAAAAAAAAACAAAAACACACAATACATTATTTATTACAGTTCCAAATGTTTCTACCATCATTCAGGAAATCAAAACTATAGCTTGATGGAGTTTAGGTGTCCACACATGGGGTTTTCAGATTCTAATCATTCTGTGGTTTGACGAGTTTCTGCATGAAAAACAGAAAACAGGATGCTGCGTCACATCAAAGTCTGAGTCATCATTAATAATGTGATGGGAGATAAGGAATCAAAGAGGGAAAAAAGCTACAGGTCATTTTAAAAAGGTCAGTTCAAGGAATTCTTCAAGTTCAGCTTTCTGTCAGGAGTCCCAGAATTCCTGGCAACATCCCAAAGATTCAGGTATTGTAACATCGTTACCAGCGTTACACATTAACCCCAGTCACAGACCTGAGCGTCATCATTTACAGCAGAAGTACAGACCTGTAATCAGCAGACTGACACAGAAGACAGTCACAGTTATCTGCCCTTCCCCCGCTGGCTGGATGAGAAACTCCAGACTGGCACACCTGAGGCCATAATGACCTTTCTCACACCTGAAACACAGTCACACACACACACACACACACACACACACACACA